CCAAAACGTCAGCTTTCCTGCTCCTCTGATGCTGCCTGGCCCGCTGTGTTCCTCCAGCTCCACACTGTGTTATCTCAGACTCCAGCATCGGCAGTTCTTACTATCTCTCAACGGCTCAGTGGTTAGCACTGCTGCCTCACAGCACCAGGGACCCAGGTTTGAGTTTGCACATTCTCCCCGCGTCTGCTTGGCGTTCCTCCAGGTGCTCTGATTTCCTACCCCCAACCGCAGTCCAAAGGTGTGCAGACTAGGTGGATTAGCCATGGGAAATGCAGGATTACAACATCAGGGGTAGGGTTGTGGGTTTGGGTGGGATGCCTTTCAGAAGCTTGGTGTGGACTAGACGGGCCGAATGACCTCTTTCCACACCGTAGGGATTCTAATAGAGTGGCGCTGGACCTCCCGCAGGAATTCAATAACATTTGAAGATCACAGGCTGGAGCGGGAAGGGGAAATACATGCACACAGGAAGGAGGGGTCAAAGGTTCTTCATTAAAGTCTGTAACCTCCTCGGGGGTGTTCGAGCAAAACTATACCCTCACTTCAGCCAGGATCAGTGTCTGCGATTTGCCAACGAAGTGTGGAATGAACTGTTCCCCCCACCCCCCCCCCCAAAATACCATCTGCACCTTCATTTGGGTGGGGGGGGGGTGGCACAGCTTGTAGCTACCAAGATCATGCCCAAGAGCCCACCACACGATGGTGAATCTCTGTAGATAGAAATCAATTACTCCCCTCTATAGTGGTGTGTATTTGTGTGTGAGACTTATTTAAACATTGATATTTTCACAGTACAAACCAGTTGTGCACCATTTAATAAGTTTTGTTTACAATAAATCAATTATTTAAACATTTATTGTAAAGGAAGCATATGATTGGCCACACCAGGAACCACAAAGTCAATTAGTTTACATTTTGACTGTGGTGGAGTGGGACTAGAGAAAGACAGAAAAAAGGGACAATGAACTCCGAAGCTGTCACAACACTGTCCATCTAGAACAATTTTATTCACGTTTCTTGCTTTTTTAAAAAGTATACTGCGTTGTACAGGTACTTGAGAAAACTTTTTTAGGGCATCTCAAAAGCACTTTACAGTTAATTAGGTGCTTTAAAAGTGCAGTCACAGCTGCAATGTGGGCAAGTAGCAAGAAATCTTTGACTCACTCTCCACGTTAACTCCAGTAAACATCTCCAATTGGAGTTGGCCAACAGCAGTCTGAATAATATACTGGCCCATACTGCCATCTAGAGGGATATTGTAGTATGCTTCCCTGATCATTCCATTTAACAAATGGAAACGGTGCTCTAATTCACCAACACAACAGGAGCCCTATCTGCCTGCAACCAATACCATAGACTCTGTCACAAAGAGGAATTGACAAAATGCCATGATTAGGTACAGGCATGGACTGAACAAGGGAGAGACTACGCTCTGGAACTTACATCAAAACGAAGTGGGAGTGGGAATGCCAATGCCAATAATTGAAATTCCAACATTGCAACATGGGGCTAATCCGAAATGCCTGCCTTTTCCCATGGGTTTGGCAAAGCCAGATGAGATTACCAACTTCAGACATTGTAGGGGATAATGATGTCAGGTACACCCCATTAAATCCACAAGCCCATCTTTTATTAAAAGGTGAGCAGAGGCCTGTACTGCTTTGTGCTGAATGGTATGGCTCGCAGGAGGTGCAGGGGATGTAGTTAATTCTCCATGTGTGGAGTCTGAGCCCCCCTCAGCCTCTCCTGTGGGTCAGTTTAAACACAGTCTCTGTCAAAATGGGAAACTATCAGGAAAGGTTATCCATCACCTACTCTGCAGCCTGGAGGCACTAGTAAGAGTGTGCTGAAAGGATTGCAGTGTTTCAAAAAGCAACGTATCCGCTATTATACTGAAAGATATGAATCCACACAATCTACTGAGTATGCTTTCAAAAGGCCAGAGGCTTATTTGTGTAAATGTGTGACAAGTTGGGATAGGTTCCTAAGATAAAATATGGAGGAGCTGATGTAGACCATTCAGCCCAGAGTCTGTTCCACTGTTTAATGAGATCATGGCTGATCTGATAATCCTCCTCTTCAATTTCCTGCCTTTTCCCTACACCCTTACATTTCCTTATTAAGTGCAGTTCTGAAGAGAGGAAAGAGACAGAGGGCAGAAATCATTTGAAGGGCTGCAACTTCATTTCTACTCAGCCACTTACTGGCTACAAAGACATTCACAGAGAGACAGGGAGAGAAAAGAGGTTGCGTTTTTAAAGTTGCAAATGTAAAACAGAGGAAGTGACTCAGAGGAAAGAGCAGAATCCAAACAGAAATAATAGCAAGGGAATGTTAGATCACAGAATATCAGCAGCAACTGTCCAACCATGTGAGAACATAAACACAAACACACAAACCACTGACTTCCATATTAAATGTTTCATATTTATTGAGATATATAAACAAACATTTTATTACAGGCATTTATGTCCAGTAATTAGAAACAAATTTCTCATTGAAACGTTTAATTCAAATATAGAATCTTCTGACAAAGTATATTAGGAAAAATATTACCTTTTCCCCAAAACATCATTTGAAAATATATTTTTTTTTAAAAACTTAAAATAACTAAATGTCATGACTAAGAATATTATTAAAAGTTTCGTGTCAGATTGTAAACTTGTACTGAATATTTGATGATAAAGAGCTTTCTATCATTTGCACGAATACCATGGCAGTCAGTCAGATGATCAGCACAGGCCAATCATACCACAGCACATCATGGAACCACAATATGGCCTGTTCGGTTCACTTTCTCAATCCTGGTCTCAGGCTCCACATCTTCATGGACCCTGACTCAGCAGCCTATTCCAATGGGACACACCTTTCTCTATCTTTCCACTCAAACCCTCATTTATTTATGCTCAAGACAACATGAAGGAAGTTTTGTAAGGTTGTCTATTTGACTGCAGATAGTACACTGAATTTACAGCACAGGAAGAGGCTATTCAGCCCAACTGGTCTATTCTGGCTTTCATGGAGAGTGCATGAGCCTTCGCTCTCAGTGTAACCTTCCATTTTTCTCCCTCTTGTGGTTATTAGCTTTTCTTTAAATACTTCTACACTACTCACCTCAAACACTCTTTGTAAGATGTTCCACATTCTAACTATAAGATTCTTTGAACATGTGGTTGAATCATTTCTTTCTGCCTCTGGTTGGTCTGCACTGGCCACGTGACCAGTACCACATGGTTAGCATGGTCAAATCAAATCAACACAGGCTGCTCACCCAATAAAAACCCAGCCTGAATTTCCTCTTCATTGACTGCAGTGAAAAGTTCAACTGATTGTATAAATGGGACTACCAGTCTCCTACCACTACTGCAATCAAAACTTCAGCTTGTTCATCATTCGCTGAGGAAAATGTTCAAATAAAGTCAGAAGTTCAATAATTTTATTGAAAAAGAAGAGAGTCACCAAATCCTCAAATTAAATTTATATTTTTTTGGGAACGTGCACTTAAAACAGAAAGCAAGCCAGCAAGGAGAGATTTATAGCAAGGACAGGTTTATAGCAACATTGTAATAAAGCTATTTACCACTGAGGAGAGACTAGAAAGTGCAACAATGTTGTGTAGCAAAAGACAGCAAATTTCTAGGAATGAACTCATGAAAGAGAGAAAACTTCAAGGGGGATGAGAGGAAACAACAAAAAGGGCTCACATCTTATAACAACACATTAAGCAGATTTAGCAGCAGTGGTAGTGACAAGAGCTTAAAATCATCGGTCAAGCAACAATACTGTGAGAACAATTCATTTCTAAATACAAAATGCCTTTATAAAGTCTTTCTTCAACATAGGTAACTGAATCTGAGGAAGGGTCACTCGACCCGAAACATTAACTTCTGCAGATGCTGCCAGATCTGCTGAGCTTTTCTAACAATTTCTATTTTTGTAGATGACTGAATATTGACTGTGGAAGACATGTTATGACTCCCAGAATTCAGCAGTGAATTTACATGCAGACCAAATTCACAACAGCAGTTAAAATTCTGATGGAGAGGGGAGTGAATTTTAGTTTGTTTATGTATTCTTTGTTAAAGCTATTGCCCAATAATTATAGTTAATGTATCATAACGGAACTTTGTCCATTTATCCACAGAAAATGCTCCAACCACCAAAATGACATCCACATCCTTGGGTATAGCTTTTACCAGTGCTGTTGCTCAAACTAGAACGGCTTTTTGTTGTCCCAATTAAAGAAAGTAACAAAATAAGAGACATATACCTATCTCACACATTTAATTAACTTTATGACGGCAATAAATAGGATATGTTGATATACAGCATAGTAAGCATCAGTGCATCATTTTTCCAGGATTACCCATTGCACTGTGCATTTTTGATAAACCCTTACCTTACTCTGGCATACAATGTAATGGCTTTATTGAAAATTAATTAGATGGTTTTAAAAAAAACTTGTACTTAAATAGTACGTTTAACAGAGGTCTCAAGGCTCTTCATAGAAGTGTTAGCATACAAAATCTGATACCCAATCACAGGGAGATATTAGGGCAGGTGATCCAAAAACCTACCTCTTTCTCAATTTTTAGGTTTGACTTAACACTAATGTCAAGAGAGAAAGATGTTAAGAGGAGAATTCCACAGTTCAGGGCTAGAAAGCTGACGACAAGGCGAAGAAGTGGTAAGAACTGGATGTGCACAAGAGCTGAGAATTGGAGGAGAGCACAATGTTTGAAGCCAGAAAGAGCTTTGCAATAGTAGTTTGATAGAGGAGTGGAAAAGGCAGCCAGGTAAGCAAGAAACCGAAGCAACAGGAACAAATGTTAAAAAAAAACAGTAGTCAGTCAACCGCAGTGAAAGAGAGTAGTGGTATAAAGTGACAGGGAACGGAATGACGAACAATATAGAAAGATCTAAGGATTAAAAAGGGAGTGACAAGGAAGGGTCACCAGATCCGAAACGTTAACTCTTTTTTTTCTTCACAGATGCTGCCAGACCTGCTGAGCTTTTTCAGCAATTTCTGTTTTTGTTCCGATTTACAGCATTCGTAGTTCTTTCGGTTTTTAAAAAGAGAGAGTGATTTGGTGAGCTGCAAAACTGACTTGAAGAAAATTCTTCCGAGATTCACAATTTGTGTTTCTAAACGAAAACGGTGTGGAAAATCAAAGTTTTGATTTGTGACACTTTAAACAATTCAAGTCAAAAGACACAAACAAAATCCACCTGTACACTAATCATTCATATTTAGCCCTTATACTGTGTCAATGCTATTTTGTACAGCTGTACATTTGACAGTACATCTATAAACCTTAATACACAAATCCTAGATCTTTGCTCGACAAATTTATCATGCATCTCTCTCTCAAATGAGCCTGCTTATCTAGTTTTGTCTATAAATTAATAAGCTTACAGGAGACTGGGCCAAAACCTGGAAATTACTGGAAGCAATATTATGCAACAATAAGGCAAACTCACATCAAATTCATCTTACCACCATTTTAAATCGAAGAATTAACTGTTTATTTTGAAGGATTAACATGTTCATTGATAAATAGTGGAGAAGGGAATTTGGTATAACACGTTAAACATCAGAACAGAGGCGTCAGTCCAAATCTCTCCTGGCTTGAAATTCTGGGAGTGGGGGGAAGAAAGTGAAATAATTGCACAATATTTCTAAGGATTTTTGCCCTTATATTGTTACAATTCACACAAAACAACCTGCTCTGCTTCATGTTCTACGAAATCAGGCTGATTAACATAAGAAATAAATAAATACTAAGTTGCAGGTTAATTATAAATATAATTTAACATTAAAATTTGACCCTTCACATGCATGCATTTTGGTATTTGCTACTAATGAGTGTGTTGCAGGGACTGGACAAAAGTAGCAAAATACTTTCTGCAAATTCAACAGTGCTTTTCCATGCATCCCAGTGATCTAACTACTTATTTCTCAAGGAGTATAGCAGACAGTGCAATGATATTTGGTGTTCCACGTAGAGAAAATCAGAACTTAACTGTGTCCAGCAGTTCACTGTTTGGAATGTGTTGCAAAAGGCTAGCAACTTTAATAATTGGTTTTATAAATCAACACATTTATATATGTTGATGGATAACAGTTGCACATGTGCAGAATGGCTGTACTGTGACAGCCAAGTCAATTTGGTTACTTTACAGCTGTAATGATTTTTCACCCAGCTCTGAACTTTTATTCGTTTTTAAGGATCACTTCTATCAAACATTTTGAAAGTTAAATAATTCTATACTGATTATGGAACATAATACATCTATTGTTCAAGAGCCACATCAGAATACTAAGAGAAATAACAAATTTATAGAATGTCTTTTCAGACACCCCAAAGATTGTTACAACCAACGATACACTTTTGAATTGAAGTCTTTGGCATCAGCCAAATTGCAGTCAGTTCTCACAAGCGACACTGAAATAAAACAACTGGATAATCTGGCACTTTCACAGCTAAATGTTTACTGTGACACCAGGACAACTTGCCTGCTATCTTGTCAGTAGTGCTGAGAGATCTTTTACAGCCATATCGGAGGGTAGGCACGGCCTCAGTTTATCACCTGAGAGGATAACGGGGGACCTCCAATATGCAGCACACTGTGCTGTACTGTAAAATGCTAGCTGAGGATATACAAGCACGTCTTTAGACTGGTGTTCCATCTGAGGCTCCAAAGTGGCAGTAGAGCCACTATTGAGCCACGAGCAACGCCCACAAAAAACGTCAGAGGCAGCTTAAACGAACTCTGAAAGGGTATGGACAACAATTTTCCAAAGTTATAAAATAGCGTGGGGGGGAAAAAAATTGCTACCATTGTTGCTGAGACATTCTGGTCACAATTGCTCATCAGTTATAAGTATAAAATATTACAAAAAAAATGGATTTTTAAAAACCCAAAATTTGTTTTCATTACATCGTCATCCTGAGAAAATCTTAAGTTAAGGATATGACTATAATAGAGTATTCAGAACGGAGTTCACCAGGCAGCCTTGTCCTTTTTTTGAGTAATTTGTTTAAGCATTCTAGCAGTGACTACATTTACGTTTTCAGTGATACGCCTGAGCAGATCCTCTACTCCACATCAACACAGATTAGGCCACAGTTAATTTGCGCTGTTTGTGATCTTCCTGGTGTGTGTGGTGTTGTACCATTTTTGGAAAGCCACGCCAGAGGTGCCAAGTGTCACACAAAGTGCTCCTCCTAAACTCCACCAGCTCGGGGTGTAATTGAGGAATAAATACTGAAATATGAAGGCTAGCATCACTTCTAAGGTCTTCATCAGGGCCACCGACGCAGCCTTCTCAATCTGCAAGGCTTTGGTGAGGAAGATCTGCCCTCCGAGTCCGCAGATACCGATCAAGACCAAGAGCACCCGATCCGTCCCACAGAAGGGCAGGCTCCATTCCTGAAGGGCTGACACCATGATCACGGACAGAATTAATCCGATCACAGAGTAGTACCAGATCGAGAGCAGATAGCTGACAGATTTGCCCATTTTGCGGATGACTGTCAAGGTCAGGGCGGCACAGATCGCGCTCCCGAAAGCGGCAGCGGTCCCCTTCATGCGGTTCTTGTAGTCGCTTTCCGATCCTGAAACCCGGGAGCCGAAAAGGAACGGGGGCCGGGCGATAAGGATCACCCCGGTTAAAGTGAACACAGTGAAGACTGGATCCCAAAAAGTGCAGCGCTCCTTCAGAAAAATCCACGCAAAAACGCTGACAAAGACCGGGTTACTGAACATGATGACGGTGGCATCAGCCAAAGGCATCTGCTGAATTGCATAGAAGAACAACATCATTGCTACAGCACCTAGAATCCCTCGTGTGCACAGCAAAACTCTCAGGTCCTTTGGTCCCAGCAAGTCTATTCTGCAAAACAAAGCGACAACAGTGAAAATTTCATGCAAGCGTTTCACCCACCTTTTTTATTTCTTTCAGTTTCTTGATAAATCACATGCCAGTTATTCCTTGGCTTAGCCCTCCTTAGAGGTCTGAATTTCCCTTACATTTTCAAATGGCATCTTAAAGAGTTAATTCTTTCTCCAAGTATTGAGCGTCTCATCCTGTGTTGATTCTACTGGATGTGAAATGCTCCCAAGATCACCCAAGAACTGGCTTAATTCCCAAAGAGGGATCTGCTCCCATGTGGTGCTGCGGAGTACTGTTGGAATAAAAGCAGTCTACACGGCAGGGAGGTCTGAACTGTCAGGGAGGATCTGAATGCTGGAGGGCACCAACCTTCCACCTAATCGGGGCTGGAAAATGACAAAGCCCAGATGGAAATTCATAACCATACTCCTCAGTGCTCACGGCTGGGAAATAGGCTTCTACCATGTCTCAGCTCTTTCAGTCAGCTGCAAAATGGGCCCAGGGAAGGGTAAATACAGAGGGTGAGAGTATTGTGGCAGGCTAGGATGAGGTGTCCCAGCGTGGCATTGCTGTACATACTTCCTGTGGAGCCCAGGGCATCACTTCAGTTAAAGCTTGAGGGGTGCGGGAGCAGCAAATAATTAATAAAACTGACTGAGTGTGACCATTTAATACAAGGGGAATTGAATGCAAAAGTAGGAAGGTGGTGGGGGCACTGGTGAGACCATATCTGGAGTACCGTCAATAGTATCGGTCTGTTCATTTAAAGAGGGAAGTAAATACATGGGATGCTTCAGAGTTCAGAGAACAGCTGGCAGACTAATAGCTGGAAAGCATGGGCTATTTTATGGAGAAAGATTGGACAGGCTCAGCTTGAGTCTACTGGAGTGTACAAAAGTAATTTGATTGAAACTGGAGGTCCGGAGGGCTCTTGACAAGGTGGATGTGGAGAGGATGGTTCCTTACGTGGGAGAAGGTAGAACTAGGGGTCACAATGTCAAAATAACGAGTCACCCAATTAAAACAGAGATGAGGCAAAACCCTTTTCCCACAGAAGGTTGCGAAGTCTTTAGGACCCTTCCTGAAAAAGCCGATGGAAGCAGACTTTAAATATTTTTAAAAGGTGGAGGTGGATAGCTCCTGATAGGCAAGAGAGTAAAACAAGGCAGACTGGAAGTGCCAAATCACACACTTCTGCTCGCTGTTCATATAGTCCAATAATAACCACTGTAGGGTGATCATTTTGTTTCCTGATGTATTGCTGTGTAAATATCGATTTTCCACTCAGGTGTCTCTGCGTGGTGACGATAGTCTTACGTATTTAACAGACCCCAATTTGAATGCGAAATATGTTCAACTGCACAGAGCTAACAACTAGCCCTTCTCAGGAGAAGGTCAGCTGAATGAGGTGTACAGGGCACCAGATTTGCACCTAGGTTTTAAGGAGCCGCTGCTTTAGCAACACTTGTGTAACCAGCAAAAAATATCCTTTACAAGTTCACAACTGCAGTTAAACTGTGACAAACCAAAAGTATCAGCAAGAGCAACTATAAGGATTCAAGAGGGCAAATGGCTGCAATGACTCAGTCATTGGGACTAGGAGCTTAACGTGAAGGAACCGCTAGGGGGCTGTGACTACAATACGATAGCATTCACCCTGCAGTTTGAGGGGGAGATGCTGGAATCAGATGGAAACTGTATAACAATTATGTAAAAGGTGACTACAATGACATGAGAGAGGGGAGCTGGTCAGAGTTGATTGGAAGGGGAGCCTACCAGGGAAGATGGTAGAGCAGCAACGAAAAGACTTTCTGGCGATAATTGGGAAGGCACAGCAGAAATTCATCTCAAGGAAGAAGAAACATATTAAAAGTGAGGATGAGGCAACCATGGCTGACAAGGGGAGTCAGGGGCACTTTAAAAGCAAAAGAAAAAGCATAAAACGTAGTGAAGATGCAATCATTGTCATAGAGATGTACAGCACGGAAACAGACCCTTCATTCAAACTTGTCCATGCCAACCATATATCCTGAATAAATCTAGTCCTATTTGCCAGCAATTGGCCCATACCCCTCTAAACCCTTCCTATTCATATACCCATCCAGATGCCTTTTAAATGTGGTGATCTTTCAGAGGAAGTGGAGGCTGGTACACTTATTCCATAAATGCACCACCCTCTGCATGAAAAAGTTGCCCCTTTAGGTCCCTTTTAAATCTTTCCCCTCTCACCTTAAACCTACGCCTTCTAGTTTTGGACTTCCCCACCCTGGGAAAAAGACCTTGGTCTATTTACCCTAACCATGCCCCCCCATGATTTTATAAACCTCTATAAAGGTCATCCCTCAGTCTCAGATGCTCCAGAGGAAGTAGCCCCAGTCTATTCAGCATCTTCCCTATTACTCCATCACTAAACCCTCCAACCCTAACAAAATCCTTCTAAATCTTATCTGAGCCCTTTCTAGTTTCACAACATCCTTCCTATAACAGGGAGACCAGAATTGCACACAATATTCCAAAAGTGGCCGAACTAATGTCCTGTACAGCCACAACATGACCTCCCAACTCCTATGCTCAATGTATTGACCAATAAAAGCAAGCATATCAAATACCTTTTTCACGATCCTATCTACCTGCGACTTCACTATCAAGAAGCTACGAACCTGCTCTCCATGCTCTCTTTGTTCAGCAACACTCCCCAGGACCTTACCATTAAGTGTATAAGGCATGCCCTGATTTGCCTTTCCAAAATGTAGCACCTCACATTTATCTAAATTAAATTCCTTTGCCACTCCTCAGCCCATTGGCTCATCTGATCAAGATCCCATTATACTCGGAGGTAACCTTTTTTGCTGACCACTACACCTCCAATTTTGGTGCCATCTGCAAACTTACTAACTGTACCTTCTATGTTCACATCCAAATCATTTATATAAATGACGAAAAGCAGTCAACCCAGCACCGATCCTTGTGGCACACCGCTGGTCACAGGCCTCCAGTCTAAAAAGCAACCCTCCCTCACCATGCTCAGTCTTCTACCTTTGAGCAAGTTCTGTATCCAAATAGCTAGTCTCCCTCTATTCCATGTGATCTAACCTTAGTTGGAAGACAGAGAATCAGGAGGCTTTTAAAAACTGGCACAGGAAAACTTAAAAGCAATGGGGGGTGGGGATGGTAGAGATGAAATACGAGGTAAACTAGCTTGTAATCTAAAAGAAGATTGCAAGAGTTTTTTTAAAGATACAAAGACAGAAGCAACTGTGGATATTGGACCACTGTTTAAAAAAAGTAAAAGGAAAAGTCATGGGGAACAATGAAGTGGCAGAGGAACTGAATAGGTACTTGGCATCAGTTCACACAATGGAAGACACCAGTAGTATACCAGAACTTCAAGAGAGTCAGGGGGCAGAGGGGAGTGTAGTGGCTGTCACTACAAAGAAGGTGCTGGGGAAGCTGAAAGACTTGAAGGTGGATAATTCACCCAGACCAGATGGGCTACACCCCAGAGGTCTGAAGGAGATACTGAGGAGATTGTAGGGGCATTGGTGGGCGATCTTTCAGGAATCACTGGAGTCAGGGAGAGTCCCAAAGGGACTGGAAAATGGCGAATGTAACACCACTGTTTAAGAAGGAAGGAAGGAAGGAAGGAAGGCAGAAGACAGGAAACTATAGGCTTGTTAGCCTGACCTCGGTCACTGGTAAGGTTTTACATTCTACTATGAAGGATGAGATTGTGGAGTATTTGGAAGTGCGAGGTAAAACAAGGCTGAGTCAGCACAGCTTTCTCAAGAAGAGGTCATGCCTGACAAATTTGTTAAAATTCTTTGGAGGAGGTAATGAGCAATTTAGACAAAGGAGAGCCAGCGGACGTGATCTATTTGGATTTCCAGAAGGCTTTTGGCAAGATGCTACCAAGGAGGCTGCTAAATAAGAGCCCATGGTGTTAGGGACAAGGTAGTGGCATGGATAGAGGATTGGCTAACTGGCAGAAGGCAGAGTGTGGCGATATGGAGGTATTTTTCAGGATGGCAGCTGATGACTAGTGGAGCTCTGCAGGGGTCAGTGTTGGGACCACGACTTTCATGTTATATATTAACAACCTGGATGAAGGAACTGAGGGTATTGTTGCTAAGTTTGCAGATGACAAAAAGGTAGGTAGAGGGCCAGGTAGTGTTGAGGATGCAGGGAGGCTGCAGAAGGACTTGGACATACTAGGAGAGAGTGGGAAGAGAAGTGGCAGATAGAATACACATGTTGGAGAAAATGTGAGGTTATACACTTTGGTAGAAAGAATAGAGATGCAGAGTATTTTCTAAACAGGGAAAGGCTTCAGAAATCTGAAGCACAAAAAGGACGTGGGAGTCCTAGTTCAGGATTCTATTAAGGTTAACATGCAGGTTCAGTTGGCAGTTAGGAAGCCAAATGCAAAGTTAACAAGCATTTCAAGACAGCAAGAATACAACAGCAAAGATGTACTGCTGAGGCTGTATAAGGCTGTGGTCAGACCACATTCAGAATACTAAGAGTAGTTTTGGGCCCCATAACTAAGGAAAAGACGTGCTGGTGTTAGAGGGGACCCTGAGGAGGTTTACAAGAAAATCCCAGGAAGGAAAGGGTCATCAAATGAAGACCATTTGAAGTCTCTGGGTCTGTACTTGATGGAGTTTAAAGGATGAGGTTTGGGGGGTGGTGGGGAGGATCTCGCTGAAACTTAAAGAATACTGAGAGGCCTGGATAGAGTGAATGTGGAGAAGATGTTTCCACTAATGGGACAGACTAGGATCCAAGGGCACAACCTCAGAGTGAAGGGATGACCCTTCAGAACTGAGATGAGGATTTTGTCAGCTAAAGGGGGATTAATCTGTGGAAATCTTTGCCACAGAGGGCTGGGGAGGCCAAAATCATTGAATGTATTTATGATAGATAGGTTCTTGATGAAAAAAGGGATCGAGGGTTCCAGGAGAATGGAGTGGAGAAACACATCAGCCATGATCGAATGGTGGAGTAGGCTTGATGGCCTGCAATACGGCAGAGGCAGAAACAGTCATGACATTTATGTAGTATCTAGATATAGCCTTGTATACTTGCGATGTCAAAGCTATGGGCCAAGTGCTGGAAAACGGGATTAGAATAGTTAAGCATATACTCGATGGGCCGAATGGCCTTTTGCTTTGCTTTACTTCGACTTGACTTCTACCTTTCCTACTATCCCATCCTCCAAATACTCCATCGGGGCTAACTGCGATTTACTTTTAAAATTTAAAATTTAGTATTTGCATTTGCTTCTTACAATCCAATCTCCCTCTGAAACAGGGAAATTAAAAGTAGGTTGGAGACTATTTCAATGCATCCCACAATTCAAACTCACAATTATGAGCCTGAGCTTCTGTTGCTCAATATTTTTAGTCTCCATTCTATCCTTTCAGCCTCCTACACTGCTTTATTAAACTTAATGGAAGCATGAAGAGCAGCATCTTATCTCTCAATGATGCATTTTACAGCTTTCTAGACTCAACATTGAGTTCAACAATGCAGATCATAACCACTGCTCCAGTTTCTCTAGACAGCTATTGCTGCTTCGGATTCTGCCGTGCATTAAATTGCTCCCGCCTTTCAACCTACCCCAAACCTCCACTTTTTCCCCGGTGTTTAATTTGCTTTAAACCTGTTAACCAGTTTCCAATTATGAGGAAAGGTTTAAAGACCAGAAAATGTTACCTCCTGTTCTCTCCCTGAAGAGCTGCCTGCTGAATATTTCCAGCATTTGATAAATTTCTACATCTTAACGGCTTTCATTATCACTTGCTGGAAGGACATAAAAAGATGCAATGAGTCATTTGAAGTGGTCTGCAATCTTCATCCCAACTTGTTATGACGTTCCAAAGTTAAGATTGAAGTCAGAGATCTACTGAACAAGTGAGAATCTGGCCTTTTCGAATGAAAATCCGTGTTGGGAGTACTATAAACTCTCTACATGTTGAGAGCTGGAAGGGATAAGCTGTTAGGTTTTGTATATCAAAATACTCCAATTTAAATATGTTGAAAATTAAAATAATCTTCTGATGCTCATCTTTAAGCTGATCCATTTATCATTATTTTTCCAAATAATGAAAAAAGAAGCACCCAAGAATATTACTTTTACTGTTATCTTCCAGTTTGAATGCTACGGATGAGGAAATATTTCAGGATAGTTTGCTTTAAATACGGACGTTGTGTTGTTTCATTCCATAACTTCAACATTAAACATAATATCCTGTTAGTTCAAACATGGACAGAATTATCCTGGACCTTGGATGCCTAGTAACTCGATACGATAATCCTGCAATGGGTCTGTATTTGGTCCAGGAGTTTGATTACGTTATTTCAGACAACATATTATCCCCACAAGCAGCAATCCACCCTGTTCAATGGCTCAGAACCACAGGTTAATGTACAATTACCCTATTAATGAATCAGGAGAGCTGTGGATTGTATACAAGATGAAATATTTTTCTCATTTGTAACCTTAACCATGTTGTTTAAAGAAACATTACACAAACATGCCAACAGTTAACTACAACAATAATTTATGCTAGTAGATTCCGTCTCAGCACTATGCTAATCAAAATTGTTTGAATCGGATAGCTGTACATGTGCATTGTGGGTAAAGTAGGATTAAAAACCGGGATAACTCTAGCAGCTCGGTAATTTATGGAATCAGGAAGGTTGATGCTGGAGCGATCACTGTTTTACATATTGGACTCTACATATAAAATACAGAATCGCAGAATCTCTACAATGTGAAAAGAGGCCATTCAGCCCATCAAGTCTGCACTGGCCCTCTGTCCAGCATCCCATAACCTTGCATTTCCCATGCCTAATCCACCTAGCCCACACATCCCTGGACGCTACGGGGCAACTTAGCATGACCAAGCCATGTAACCTATACATCTTTGGACTGTGGGAAGAAACCAGAGCACCTGGGGGAGACCCATGCAGACACAGGGGAGAACTTGCAAACTCCACACAGACAGATAGTCACCCAAGGCTGGAATCAAACCAGGATCCCTGGCGCTGTGAGGCAGCCGTGCCAGCCACTGAGACACGCTTAATTTTACTTTTAACGTGTTACTTCATTGTCATGGTAACTCTGAACACAATACATTCAAGCCCCAGGATGTTTATTTTGGACTTACTCATTATATATAATGGCAGGCCATGTGAACAGCCACTGAAACAAACATCGAATGCCACTAATTTCCAGAGCATGAATGCCATCAACCTTCTTCACCAAGAATGAAGTGACTGAAAAGAACAAACACGATAACAGGGTATAGCATAACCCAAGTCCCACGCATTTGGGCTTCTTCTCGGTTGCTGAAAAAGAAAAAGATAATTAATTTACCAAAATGTTTTAATAATAAATTTAGTATCCACAATATAGAGTGGATCAGTGAACTATTAGCACAGGAACTAAGTTAGCCCATGTCATTGTTTGAGTACCACATGTGTCTTCTCACACTCTAGTTTATCCAGCCGCATTATTTATAGATACACTGTAAAGAGTAGTCTGACACCACAGTCATTGAGAAATGGGTTCCAGTCCAGGTACACACCTCATATCTATTTCGTGACTAATTCCAATGCTTTTGCCCAGACCTCACCAAACCAGAAAAGAATAAATCTTTGAGTGGTTAGGCAGGCACACTCACATTTTGTAAGATTTAAAATACCTTTAAATTTTAAACATTTTTTTTAAAAAAAAAAGTCCTCATGGATATGCCCATCCATCCCTGAACCTCAGTCTGTGTTTTGACTTCTCATTGATTTCACTAAAGTCCCTAAGACCAGCCACTGACAGTAAAGCCGCACTCTAAACTCATATTTGACTTCATCTTGACTTAACAAAATTTTTGATTACATTTTTCTCCATGTCAGAATGTTACATTTAAAAAAGGTACATGTAAAATATTTCTTTGGAACAGAAAAGGCCAAGGCTCTAAAGGGTCTTGATAAAGTACAGGCTTGGAGGGCCGAATGACTTGTTCCTGTGCTGTATTGCTCTTTGTTCTTCTTTGATGGGAAGGCCATATACCCCTTGATCAAGAGACTGATAGTCAGAAGATGTGGTTTAGGAAGGAGATTTAAGAGGATAAATCAATAGAAGCTTTAGACTGAGGGTACTGGGAATTTAGAATTCACTGCCTCAAAAGCTGGTAGAGACAACAGCCCTCGTCATATTTAAAGTGGACTTGGTTATTAGACTTGAAGTGTCATAACGTACCTAGTTACAAACTGGAAAATGGAATTAGGCTGGTAGCTCTGTACTGGGTAGTGTGGATACAATGGACCAAAATGGCATCCTTTCATGCTGTAAATTTCAACAGGACCTCTGCAGAGTTAATCACAGAGGAATGTAAACAAAATTGCAAACTGATCATGCTAGATGTTTATACCTCACTAGTTCACCATCAGCTACAGTATTGCAGACAACTCTGGACTCCACACTCCTGGATAGATACAAAGAGCTTGGAGAGGGCACAAAGCAGGTTTACCAGACCAGGATGAGGGACTTCAGAAGTTGGAAAAGTGACAAACCTTCTCTGATCCCAGGAAAGCCATTAAGACATTGGCTAATAAAGTTTAAGAAAAGGAGGGGTTTTAATAGAACACAAAATAAAAATCTATTCCCTCTGAGTCAAAAACAGATTCAAAGTCATGAGAAAAAAAAATTTAAAGGGAAGACAAGAATGTTTTTAACTCAGTTATGAGCTGTAAAGTTGTATCTGGAAAAGAAGATGGAAATCAAGTAATTCAAGGAAAGCTTTAAACCAACAAACAAACAAAGATTTGGAAAAGGCTCTGGAGGATGAGGAATTTAGATTCAGACAATAAGCATGGATGCTGGTCTAAACATTACTGTGCTTTCAAAAGAACTCACATCGGCAAAACTGACTAAAGGCCACTGTTCTGTGCTGCATGTTCCTATAATGCTACGTACCAACCTGCGTTAATACATTATTAATAAAGCCTACTGTGGTAAAACATATAAAGATGATGGAAAAAGATGCCATTCGGCCTATCCTGTCCGTGACGACTGAATAAACTAGCAGCCCGATCTAATCCCACTGAGCAGTGCCTGGCCCATAGTGTTGCTGGTTACATTGCTTCAGGTACTGATACACGTTCCCTTGAAATGAGTTGAGAGTTTCCACCCCAGTTAGCAAATTGGGCAGCAAATTCCAGATAAGCATCGCCCTCTGGGTGAAAAGGTTTCCCCTCAAGTCCCTGTAATGAAACTGTGAGCTTGTGTTTTTTAATATTATTTATTGTGATTTGGGTTTTTGGAATTCTAAATTAAACGTATGGGTTTGTCTGCGTTTGGAGTTAATTAGCTTTTAAAAATTACAATATCCATAATTCCAAGCAATAGAAAGTTATCCAGAGTTCCGAGGGAATTACCACAGGGCTTACGGGAAAACATCTTCAACCGACTCTTAGTTTCAGTCCGTGCTGGGAAGTTGTCTGAGAAAGCAGCATATATCAATATTTCTCAGCACTTCAGAACTTTTGTGGAGTCTACGTGCACAATAGCAGCATACAAAAAGGAGTTTAAAGTAATGAATAGTAAGTTATATTAGTCCAAGAGCTACAGTCGGTGCAAAAGAGAAGTTAAGGTTTTGAAGTTTTGTTTAAAAAAAGGAATTGAAACTACGTCAAAGGATAATCAACATCCACCACACTACCCTCAATCCTCTTTAACACTTCCTCAAAAAAAATTCTATGAAGTCAGTAATGCACAACCTTCTGTAACACACACGTGCTGACAGTCCCTTATTAATCCTCACTGCCAAGGTCAGGCTAATTAATACACCATTTCCAAATCACAGTGCAATGTTTGCAGACCTACTTGCCTTCCGTGAAGATTGGAAATAATCCTCAAGCCATCACTATTTCCTCCTTGACTTCCTATAATGGCCTGGGATACAATTTTCTTTTATTCATTCGCGAGACGTGGGGTCATTGGCTGGGTCAGCATTTCTTGCCCGTCCCTAGTTGCCCTTGAGAAGGTGGTGGTGAGTTGCCTTCTTGAACCGCTGCAGTCCATCTGCTGTGGGTTGACCCACAATGCCCTTAGGGAGGGAACTCCAGAAAGCTGACCCAGTGACAGTGAAGGAACAGGGATATATTTCCAAGTCAGGGTGGCTTGGAGGGGAACTTGCAGGTGGTGCTCCCATATATCTGCTGCCGTTGTCCTTCTAGAAAGCAATGGCCCTGGGTTTGGAAGGTGCTAAGAATCTTTGGTGAATTTCTGCAGTGCACTTTGTAGAAAGTATACATGGCTGCAACTGAACGTGGGTAGTGGAGGGAATGGATGCTTAATGTGGTGTCAATTAAGTGGCTGCTCAGTCCTGGATGGTGTCATTCTTGAGTGTTATTGGTAATTCGTAACCCCCAGGATATTCAGTGATGGTAACACCATTGAATGCCAAGGGGCAGTGGTCAGATTGTGTCTTATGATACATGGTCATTGCCTGGCGTTGGTGTGCTGCAAAATGTTACTTGCCACTTGTCAGCCAAAGCATGGCCATTCTCCAGATCTTGTTGCATTGGAGCATGGACTGCTTCAGAGCTTGGCTAGGGGAGCAGCAAGTTTTGGAGCACAAGTCTTCAGTACTATTGCCGGAACGTTGTCAGGGCCCACAGCCTTTGCACTATCCAGTGCATCCAACTGTTTCTTGAGTGAATCAAATTGGCTGAAGACTGGTATCTGTAACGCTAGGGACCACTGGAGGAGATCGAGATGGATCATCCACTCGGCATTTCTGACTGAAGATTGCTGTGAATGCTTCTATCTTTTGCAATGATGTGCTGGGCTCTTCCATCATTGGGGCTTGAGATACTTGTGGAGCCTCCTCCTCCAGTGAGTTGTTTAAATTATCCACCACCATTTATGACTGGATGTGGCAGGACGGCAGAGCTTAAATCTGATCTGTTGGTTGTGAGATTGCTTAGCCCTGTCTATCACTTGGTGTTAATGCCATTTGGCCTGCAAGTAATCCCATTTGGTAACTTCACCAGGCTGACACCTCATTTTCAGGTATGCCTGGTACTGCTCCTGCCATGCCCTCCTGCACTCTCCATTGAACCAGGGTTTGATGGTAATGGTTGAGTGGGGAATATGCCGGGCCATGAGGTTACAGGTTGTGCTGGAGTACAATTCTGCTGCTGATGGCCCACAGCACATGGATGACCAGTCTTGAGTTACTAGATCTGTGCAAAGTCTGTCCCATTTAGCACAGTGATAGTGCTATACAACACAATGGAGGTTGTTCTCAACGTGAAGGCAGGACTTTGTGTGGTGGTCACTCTTACTGATATGGTCAAAAACTGATGCATCTGCAGCTGGCAGATTGGTAAGGATGAGGTAGAGTATATTTTTCCCTTTTGATGGTTCCCTCACCACATGCCACAGACCCAGTCTAGCAGCTATGTTCTTCAGGACTCAACCAACTCAGTGTTACTGCTGCCAAGCCATTCCTGATGGTGGATATTGAAATCCCCCACCCAGAGTACATTTTGTGCCCTTGCCATCCTCAGTGCTTCCTCCAAGTGTTGTTCAACATTGGAGGAATACTGATTCATCAGCTGAGGGAGGATGGTATGTGGTAGTCAGCAGGAAGTTTCCTTGCCCATGTTTAACCTGAAGCCATGAGACTTCATGGGGTCCGGCGTCAACGTTGAGGACTCCCAGAGCAACACCTCCCGAGTGTATGCCACGTGCCACCACCTCTGCTGGGTCTGTCCTGCAAGTGGGACAGGACATATCCAGGAATGGAGTTGTCTGGGATATTTTCCATAAAAGGTATGATTCCATGAGAATGACCATGTGAGGCTGTTGCTTCACCTGTCTGAGACACAGCTCTCCCAATTCTGGCACTAGGCCCCAGATGTTAGCGAGGAGGACTTTGCAGGGTCGATAAGGCATTTTCTCTCATTGTCTTTTCCCGTACCTAGTGATCCATCTGTTTTTTTTTTTTTTTGTTTTTTTTTTTTTTTTTTTTTTTAAGATGAGACTTCATAGCAATTGATAAAACTGAGTGGCTTGTAGGCCATTTTAGAGGGTAATTGAGTCAAACACATTGCTTTGGGTCTGGAGTTGTGTAAGCGATAGCAGCTGAGGACAGAAGATTTCCTTCCCTGAAGGACATTAAATAGACCAGTTGGCCAATCGACAATGGTTTCACAGTCATCAGCAGATTCTCAATACCAGATTTTTAAAATCTGGTAAATTTCACCATCTGCTGTGGGGGATTCAAACCAGGATCCCCATAACATTAGCTGTGTTTCTGGATTAATAGTTTAATGATAGTACA